AGTGACATGGCCTTTAATGTTTACCACGGTTTAGAAATTGAGATTGTGGTCTCCGACCATATATGCATCCCTCTACGGTTGGTGGTTACCTTGCCCAAATCAATCGTTCCAATTCACATATCATGGTAGTAGTCAGGTGGAAGTGACACCCGAGTGATCCTTCCACAAAAGAGTTTTCAAAACCATTTACCTTTGCCTTATTTTATTGTAATTAGAAAACTTTTAAACTAAAACTTTGTTGCTAGATAATGATTAAAACGACTGAAGTAGGGGTAGACGGACCGGCCCGGGTTGATATTTAAACATACTTATCCTATACTGCACCCGACTAAGGTTTATACTTGGACCTTAGGCGGGAATTTATTGTGGTATTTGGAGTGAGTCACAAGGATTTGGGAATTCCTCCCCCAAAGGAGAATCTCTTCAACACAAGGAGCAAGGCCAGCATCTCTTTGATGGTTTTCCTTCTTCTCTCTTGTGTTTTCCCTTCTCCTAGCATGGAGTAGTCCCTTGATCCCTTCTTTCACTTGGATGTTTGTAAACCCTAGCTACAATTATGTGAATACTTGTATGAATTGAATGATTTGTGCGTGGTTTTGTTTAATGTGAATGTGGAGGTATTATTCATGAATGATTGTGTTGTGTGAAAGCCTATCAATCTAATTGTCATTCTAACCTAGGTAGATAGAAAACCCCCTTCCTTTCTTTGAAAGAGGCTTCAATGCTGAGTTTTCTTAGGCAATTCATTGTCTCCTAGTTAGGTTAATGTAGGGGAAACCTCTTATTTCATATTAGCACCTAGTGTTTGGTTGTGGGTGGTCGTCCGAACTCCGATTCGAGGGTGAAGTCTAACCAATCCTTACTCAATAGGTCGAGAGAATCATGTCGATGGCTTGGATCGCATCCCTTTCGCTCGACCTAGAGACTAAGAGGGTGGCGCTTGGTCACTTGTTACACTTACCTACGGTTTACAACCCCCTCACCACACACGACCATTCGATCCAACAAGTCGTAATTGCTAGTCAGGGGGAGCAACACCCGGGTGAAGTCTTCTCAATTAGTGTCAAATCCATTTACTTTTGCAAACTCTTTAGCTTTAGATTGTTGTTTTCTCCAAAAATCAACTGCTAGATAATGTTACAAACAATCGAAGTAGGGGTACATGAACCGGCCGGGTCAATATTTAAACATACTTGCCCTGTACTACACGCGGTTAAGGTTTTATACTTGGGCCTTAATCGGGAGTTTTAAAGTGGTGCATTCGGGTTGAGTCATAATAGCTGGGACCTGGATGCTATAAAAGAGATGTTCATAGAGGAGGATCAAGGGAGAATTGCAAGAATACCATTACGCAATTCTTTAAAGCCCAATGAAAGAGTTTGGAATCATAGCATGAATGGTGTACACACAGTAAGAACAGGATATAAACTATGCAGAGAGATACAAAAAGCCAGGAACAATCAACAACTTGAAGTTTCGCCAAAAATGTCAAAGTTTTGGACAAGCATGTGGAAAATCAGACTTCATCCTAAAGTTAAGATTTTTCTATGGAGAGTGGGCATGAGAGCATTACCTACAGGGAGCAAATTAGAACCACGATCAAAGATGGTGAGTTTGGCATGCCCTTACTGTAACCTTGTGGAAACACTTGAACATGCTTTGAGGGATTGTTGTTGGGTCAGCCGGGTCTGGAGACATAGCTTGGAGATGGATTGTTTTGAATCTAGAGAAGGTTTGCAATGCTCGGAATGGCTATGCGAGATTTTTTATAACTTTTTGGAAGAAAAAATCCAACGCTTTTGTACAATCTTATGGTTCCTGTGGAAAGAGAGGAATAATCACTTGTTCAATAACAAGAAGTTGGATGAAAATGAAATCATACCAAGAGCAATCTGTTGGATTCAAGATTACTTGGCGATCCAGAAAAGAAGTGCGAGCAGCAAGCAAGTCCGATCTGGTGCTACTATAAGATGGCCTCGTCCCCCGCCTGGTTTCTGCAAGCTAAACACCGATGCAGGCGTGCTGGGCAACATGGGAATTGGTCTTGGAGCGGTTATTAGGGATTGGAACGGTTGTTTTAGATTTGGGATAACGAATAGGGAATTGGGTATTTGCAGACCAGAGGAAGCTGAAGCGAGAGCATTGTTGTTGGGGATAGAAGAACTTATGGGGAGAGGTTTCCACCCCTTGATCGTTGAAAGTGACTGAAACTTTAATATCTAAACTAATGCGAAGGGAAACAAACATAACAGAGAGCGAAATCCTTTGCGACATGATTCTGCAGAGGAAGGAAAATGAAGAAGTTGTTGCAGACGAAGGGGAATGTGTGATTAAGTGGGCTTATGTCATTTGAACGAGTCATTTGGAACCAAATGACTCGTTTGCTGACAAAAAACTGAATGAGTCATTTGGCTCATACGAAAGTCTCAAATGACTCTATTGAGTCATTTCGAAATGCCTCCTATCTATGAGTCATTGCCAAATGACTCATTATTTTAGCAACACTTACCAACTACTTATTTGGAACCAAATGACTCTATTACCGAATTTTTTTCTTTCCGCCAAATTTTACAAGCGGTGATGGGAGGTCATCCATCTTATCGTCTGCATTATTTTCTCGTGACTCTACATCTTCGTGTCATCGGAGTTTCCGCATTCAAGAATCCATCGGACGTAGAGCAAAGGGGAACCGAACCCTGCAATGATTATAAGAGCCCAAGCGAGTGTGCTGATTGAGTCCGAGTCAAGCAATAAAATAAAATTGTCATAATCCTCACATCCTCCATAAGACCCTATCCATACTACTGCCTTACTAAAGCAGTAGTCGTGCCCCAACCTCGGGATGCTTTACTCCTAACCCCACAAGGTTCCCTCGTCAAGTCAGTTTGGGGGGGGGGGGGTGTGTGGACACACTTGTGCGAATTCGGGTAACGACTACAAGGGAGAAATCGAAAGGAAACTGGACCCGGCACTTCGCGCCAAACTTATGGCCTCGTCACAGATTTAATTCAGCCAAGATTCTGGCGCATTCCACCCTATTAGCCTGTCTCCTGCGCCAATTCGGCATCAGTCAATGTCGGGGCCGACTGGATGATGGCTTCGTCGTCAAATACGAAGTCGCAGTCCAAGAAGAGCTTCGCGCCGGTGGCTATGGAGTCGACATTAGCCCGAATATGAGACTCCTAGAGTCGTTAGCTTTTATAAAGATATTTAACATAAAAATATTATTTAATATTAGAAAGTATTATACATGACTCGTAATCATATGTTTTATTGGTTGCAAAATGATTTTGTTACGTGGTTAGTTTTATGAAGATATGAAACAAGATAATGAAATATTAAATGTAAGGGCAAAATGGTAATATTATATAAATGACCCATTTATAAATGACTCATCTAAAAATACTATTTAACAAACAATGAAATTGTAGGTGCCTACATTCGCAAATATCTATATTTCTCAAATGTCTATATTTGAGCAAATAATTCATTTTGTAAATAACTTATGCAAAAAGCCAGAAATGACTCACTTATATGGCCCATGGAACATGTCTTTTTAATGAGGAAAGACCACCCTTGAATTTGGTGGATTATTATTGCTGATTGCAATGATGTATCAGGTTAATTTTTTTAATCAATATAAAACCCACACAGGTTTCCTTTAAAAAAAATAATGATCGAAAACGCATTTTGTGCCCGAGCCCCGAAGCCAATTGGCAATTGGCACAACTTGCATTTTCCCCACAAAATAAAGGAATTGTCATGAGGGGTACATAAGTGAAAAACAAAAGTTGAGGGGCCATTTCGAAATCGCGAACAGTAAGTGAAAGATATCGGAAAAATCCCAATTACCGACTTCGGTCTTCTCTTCTACCCTCCGCGATTTGCCAAAGCCCTAGAGACGGCCTTCGGAACTAGCACGCACAGAGGATAGAAGAAGAAAACGAAGGAGACGAAGCGGGCGGCCGAGTCAGCGACGGAGACGGCGGTAGCCCTACGGGTGGCTGCTAGGTCAGTTCTTTCTTCCTTCATTCAATTTTTCCTTATGTAAGCCGAACGCACGAAGGAATTAGTTACCCCTTTCCTCTCCGTCCTTCCAGCCCTAGAAAAGGAGGGGCATTCTGCTCGCGTTAGATCATCTTCTAGCTACTTCATCTTCGCAGGCGATAGAGTTAGGCTTTCTGGGTAGGAACTTGCAAGTGGAATCTAAGCAGCGGCAGAGATTTTTTTTTTGGTCGTTAGTGGCGATTGGGGGTGAGATTTCGCGCGACCTAGGTCAATTTCTTCTCGCATTGGGGTTTTTCTTTTTCCTCTCAAAGACTGTAACTTTCTTCACACCCTAATTGCATGTCAAATAGGCTTCTCTTCGTGCACTAGGATTCGGATGCTCAATATAACTTTGCAAGTCCGGTGCAATCTTTAGTCGCTCGTTCTCAGTTCGCACTTAAAGCGAACTTCTTTGTCTAGCTCTTTTTTCTTTGTGGCAACACGGAGAATGACCTTATCCCTTTCTAGCTTGAAGAATTAGGTTTAGTGCTTCAGCGATATTCCCCTCTTCCTTACCCTGTTCGCTCTGCCATTCTTCCTCATTATCATGGTGTGTTTCGGGAGACTATAAAGGGATCCGTAATTTTTTGAGCACATGGATCTGTCCTGCTGTATTCCACTGGTTCCTGGTGCAATGCATTGTGATGGATAAGTGTTTACAATTTGATTAAACTGTTGATTGATAAGACTATGTAGGAGGAGATAGAGGAACTTTTCGTAGTACTCCTCATACCACTGTTTGATTAGTTTTTTGTTTTTTTTTACCTCTGGAGTTCCTAGTCTTTTTCTTATTGTTCTTTTTTCTATTGGAAGTACACACATTTTTTATAGTATATTGACATTTTCTGGGCAATCTGATCAAATTCTTTGGAAGGTTTTATGTGCATTGCTGATGAAGTGATAAAGGATCAATAAGTCATTGTTTTCTACTCTCCTAGCCCAGTCCTGGAAACATGACGGTGTTACTGCCTGGGGAATCTTCAAATCATGGCGGTTCTGAGAGCGGGACTTCAAGAAGCTCTCAGGAAAAGCCAGAGGACGGAGCTCGTTGGTATTTTACAAGGAAGGAGATTGAAGAAAATTCCCCATCAAGGAGAGATGCCATTGACTTGAAGAAAGAAACATATTTACGCAAGTCATATTGCACATTTTTGCAAGATCTTGGCATGAAGCTTAAAGTGTGAGCCTCTGATACTCCTTTGCACTATTGAGCGATTTACATGCTTAATGATAACATTCTGCTGCTATTTAATGTTCCATTGAATTCATGTAGTTGTTTGGTACAATGTCCGAGGTTTTGCAATGTACTAGGTACCCGTAAACCTCAGGAGGATTGTGCTTATTGATACAACTCCCTTTAGAGTTTTAACATCATGTTCTACTGTGATTTTTGGGTTCTGGAAACTAGTTTTGGTTTAGTTTTGCTGCTGATAATTGGTTAGAAATTTAGGTTTGACTGGATTAGTATTGTAGTGGACACATTACTCATATGTTCGTTGCATCTTTTCTGTTCCCTATTATGTGCAATGGCTTTGGTAGGGTGATTAGATGATTTCTTTCTCTTTGTATTCATGTCACCTGAACTTCTCGAATTACACTGGATGGGAATTAAGATGGCTGGTGAGTGGAGTATTTTAAGGTTACCGACAACAAGAAAATTTATCATTGCAGTTGGGATTGTATTCATACATAAGCTGAAGAATATGTGTTAGTACGGACGATCAGTTTATAGGGTTAGTGAGTTATCCAAACTTTAGGAGGCATGTGTTAACCTAAGGTGCACGTGATGACACACTATGGCAAATTTGTTTTGCAAAATGCTCAACATTGATTCTTTCAGTTAGATATTGATCTCTAGTGCTTTTGTGTTTAAGCATTCAGTTTGATGCCTCCTGAACTTCTTGATATTGCTGAGAGTTAAGTCTCAACTTGGATGGTTACTTGTGCATATCTTTGTAACTAGTTATGTAGACAGGTTTTTGCCTGTTACGATCTAGGTTTGCTACGTCTGAGTTATGTAGACAGATTTTTACCTGAACTTCTCGAATTACACTAGATGGGAATTAAGATGGCTGGTGGGTGAAGTATTGAGCAACTTGAAGACTGACTCACGGGTAGTTTTCGAGGTTAACGTCAACAAGAAAATTTATCATTGCAGTTGGGATTGTAGTCATAACATAAGCAGAAGAATATGTGTTAGTACAGAAGATCAGTTTATAGGGTTACTGATTTATCCAAGCTTTAGGAGGCATGTGTGAACCTAAGGTACACACTATGGCTAATTTGTTTTGCAAAATGCTCAACATCGATCTTTTCAGTTAGATATTGGTCTCTAGTGCTTTTGTGTTTAAGCCTTCAGTTTGATCCCTCCTGAAATTCTTGATTAATGAGATAAGTCTCGACTTGGATGGTACCTTGTGCATATCGTTGTTACTAGTTATGCAGACAGATTTTTGCCTGTTACGATCTAGGTTTGCTACGTCTGAATTATTGGTGTTTTTTATGTGGGGGGTTGATATTGCTGATTTGGGAAAAAGCTTCTAAGGGCTTCTGAGTTGTGGTTTTCAGTTGGAGAAATGGCATTTTCATTAGTACATGATGATGATAGGTTACTGTGGGTGCCTTCCTTATGTGCTGGGATGATAGTTTCACAATAAATTCAGCCCTAGGAGTAGGATATTTATAACGGGAGGTGTTTGTGTCCCTTTTCTGACAGAGACAAATTTGTTATTGTAAAAGCATTCGGTTGTTATTTTGATATATTTGCAAAAACAAAAGTTGTCCAGGCATTTGCAATTTGGGCATTCATTTCCCGCCTCGTTCGCTGTGCAGGGCATGTGTCCTCGCTTGTGTGCTATGCTCTCCTTTTTAATAGATGCGGTATGCATATCCCAAATCAATTTATGAAAATTAGAAAGCCCTTCTTGGTAAGGTTTGTAAATTAATTGTGGGCTAACAAAGGCTTGTGTTCTGGCCACCTCTAAAGTTGTTGGGATGTCTTGCTTTTTTTTATGATTCAATTGCCTTGCTTTTTCTCCGTCATCTGGTTTCTATCATTAATCTTGGTGCTAACTGTTACACGCAGTCAATGATTTAGAACTTCAGGCTTGCTGCAAAGCTATCTCCTTGTTCCTTTTGATACATGTTCTTATGCATAGTTTTGTGGGTAAAGGCGCAACAGTTTAAATGAAAACTAACATGAATTTGGTTCTGATTGCAGACCCCAAATAACTATAGCCACAGCAATAGTGTTCTGTCATCGATTTTTCATTCGCCAGTCACATGGGAGGAATGATAGACGGGTAAGTTGTGCTTTACTTAGCCATCATCCTCATTACCATGCTCTTATGAGGTTTATAGATGGGCAGTGGTATCATCTAGATTTTTATCAAATACTGCGTTTATGATAAAAACTAGTGATGAGTTGTCACTTGGGGATATTTTTGAAGAATATGCAGTTAGTTGGTGAGCAGGGGCATATATGACTAATTCTATTATTTAGCATAGTTGCTCCCTTGCTTTGTATCCGGTTATAGTGGTTGTGTATCTATCATGATCAGGTTCTGAGTGGCTATGGGGCCGTTTGGAGGTAGGACGGTTTAAATGAATGGATTACACAAACGTTTATCATAATAGGTAGAGCTCAAATGTTTTTTTTTTTTTTTGTTTGGCTGTGTGATTGCTTAAAAGTGAGACCCTTCATTAATTTTAGAAGTGCAATAGAGTTGTTTATGATAATTGCTACTGGTATGGGGTTAAGGGTAATTGGATTTGCAAGAAAATGGTGGGATAAAAAAACTGAGAGATTTCACTCTCTTATTCACTGGGATTGCATGTAAGTATGCCATTTTTAGTTGATCTTAAATTGATCATAAAGCATTATGAGGTAATTTGAACAGACGTGTATGTGGCTGACAGCAAGTGCATTCAAGTATAGTCTACACATCAGTGTTTTCTGTAAACGGGTACAATCCAATGTTTGCAGCATGGTGAAACAATCATTATGTTCTCCTTCCCTTTTCATCTTGTGGTTGTGTGCTTCTTTTTCTCTCTCTCGCTCAACTACCAGTGCCTAACATACCACACATGCATGTTCATTAGGTTGATAGTGCATCGGTAGTGTTAGATAAACAACTGCATCATTCCTGACTCTCTTAATGTGCTCTGCAGACTGTAGCAACTGTGTGCATGTTCCTTGCTGGTAAAGTGGAGGAGACTCCTCGTCCACTGAAGGATGTAATTCTTGTCTCGTACGAGATAATAAATAAAAAAGATACTACTGCAGCACAGAAGATCAAACAGAAGGTGTGCTACTAATTTTCTTCCCTAACTTTCAAAGTTGTTTTTGCACACGTATAATCGAAGCTGCTATTTCTTGCCCTCTCTGTCTCTCTCTCTCTCTCAATTCCTATTTCATATCACTTATTTGAGTCCTTATGACAGCTTTTTTTGGTTTTGTTCTCCCGTCCTCCCTTGGAAGTAGAATTTACCAACCTGTCAGTTCTGCTTTCAGTAATCTTTACTCCTGAAACCCCTTGTACTGTACTGTACTGTACTGTAGGAGACTGCCATTTGAGTTTTAGTGCATATACCATAGGTAACAGTTGAATGACATTGACCTAGTACTTGGAAGTGGGCTTCAGTTATCTTGCTCCCAGAATCTTAAACTTGCCTCTAATTCATCTATCATCCGATTGCTGTTTTTCATGTCAACAGTAGTACTCTTTGTAGGTAGTCACCTTTGTCATCTGGATTTTCCTTGAGAGCTTGATTACACATTTCTCTTTCAAAAACTTGAAAGGTCCTTAAATGGCCCATTTGAATTGTGCAGGAAGTATATGAGCAACAAAAAGAACTTATTTTACTTGCGGAGAAGGTTGTCCTTAGCACTTTGGGTTATGACTTCAATGTCCATCACCCTTACAAACCTCTCGTCGAGGCAATTAAGAAATTCCAAGTTGCACAGAATGCACTTGCTCAAGTGGCTTGGAATTTTGTTAATGATGGGTATGCACGAGATTATTTTGTCCTTTGTGATTTGACTTTCAGTGCAATGGTTACTCTTCTCATTCTCCTCTTCACACACTCTGGCAAGCGACTTGCAGACTGAGGACTTCACTCTGCCTGCAATTTAAGCCACATCATATTGCAGCAGGTGCCATTTTCCTTGCTGCCAAGTTCCTCAAAGTGAAGCTTCCATCAGACGGTGAGAAGGTCTGGTGGCAGGAATTTGATGTCACCCCACGCCAATTAGAGGGTTGGTGTTCCTCCTTGATTTTATTGTGAAGTTCCTATGTGGACTTAAGTGAGACTGTCCCGGCATAGGATTAAGGCTGCAATACTGCCGTGATGCTATCTTGTAGCCTTTTCTTTGTCGAGAATCTGATTCTAGAATGCTTGCTATGACCTGAGTGAGTGATCTGCAATAATTGAATGGAATGTTTAACCCTGTAGTCGATGCTTGTTCTTTATTGCATTGACTGTCTCATTTTAAGTCAGTTTGCCATTTTTACCACTTTGATTCCCTATTGTGGCTGAGTGTTCTATTATTTTTCCTCTTGCAGAGGTCAGCAATCAGATGCTTGAACTATATGAGCAAAACAGAGTGCCTATGTCACAGGGGAGTGAAGTGGAAGCTGGAGGGGGCCAAGCTCATTCTGGCCCATCCAAAACCCCCACTTTGAACGAGGAGCATGCTTCAAAGCAAGCATCTCGTTCGGCGGCCGAAAACTCATATGCAGAAAACCACAGGGTGGCACCAAGAACAACGCAGAATCAGAGTAACAATGATAATGGCAGTGCAGAGGGGGATAGCCTTATTAAAGATCACAAGGCAGACTTGGAAAACAAGGATGTTTTTCAACAGCATCCAGATAATAATGCTAATTTGTCCCTGAAGGAAAACACGAGAGAAGTTCCAAGCAAATCCAGGTCTGGGGCAGAGCGAATAAATGGAAAAGAACAAGAAAGAACCGAGGAAAGGAGTGGCGAAGGTGCGGAGGCAGCAGGAGAGGGGAAAGATGATACGCCACGGAAGTCTAGTAGTGGTATGGCGGGGCGAAACTTGGATGCTGCTAGAGAAGGCTCAGTCGGTCAATCCCCTAAAGATGCCATGAAGATGATTGATAGGAACAAGGTAAAGGCTGCACTTGAGAAAAGGAAGAAAGCTCGTGGAGAATTGACCAGGAAAAAAGATGTATTGGATGAGGATGATCTTATTGAGAAGGAACTGGAAGATGGGATAGAATTGGCAGCTGAGGATGAGAAAAGCAAGCGGGAGAGGCGGCAGAACTACTGGTCCAAGATGGAAAGTGCTGCAAAGGATCATGGAGAAATTGACGATGGGGAGAACCATGAGGAAGGAAGATCTTCTAGAGGGTTGGACGTAGAGAATGCTGCTGAGGAAGGGGAAATGTTGGAAGATGATGCTTTGGTTGTGTTGAACAGCCGAAAAAGGAAAGCTGGGGGTAGCCCGGACAGACAGCAGTCAGAGGGGAAGAAGCGACACGATTATTTGCCCAGCAACAACAATTATAGCCATGATTCTGTGGAAGAAGGACACAAGGTGGGCAGGGGTGGTGGGTACGGGGATCACAGGAGGCATGCTCAAGAGAATCATTCGTGAAGGATCAGGGAAAATGAATGAAGCTTGCTTGCTTTGAGACTTTGCTGCTGAACTCTTCTCTTCTGTCTGCTCTGCCTCCTCTCATATTGGCTTTTGGTTTGGGATTTTTTCGTTGTCTAAAATGGCATATATTCTCCGGGAGGGCACTGACTAATATGAATGCTGGTGATGATGAGTTTATGGCTAGGGGATGATGAGTTTATAACAATGGCAGGTGTGAGTCCCTTCCCCACCCCAAACCCCAAGAGAGAGAAAGAAGAAAAAAAATTGTAAGAGTAAAGAAAAAACTGAGGTTGAGAGACAGGAGTTTGTAAGGTGGCATATTTTATTGGCCTAGTGTATCGAAAACAAGAAAAAAGAAGAAAAAAAAATGGAAAAAGAAGTAGAAGGAAAAATTTAGTGATGAGTTATTGAGTTGAGTACTCTGTGAAACTTTCTTCATTCTCCTGTCGTACTATAGTTCTGTGATTTTGGTTTCAGAAGATGGGTAGTAAGATTTATGTAAATTTGTGTTCCTTCTCCTGCTGCTGCTGTTCTGTTGCTTAATGCTTTACTATTCGGTTTAGTTTACGTAGATATTTGGTCCATTGCTGCGGACATGAGGCCTGACCCTACAGTTGGGCTGTGTTTGGAGCCTGTTAAAACTTAAAACTAGACTTTGGTGTCTCCGGGTGTGGGACATAGAAGAAATTTTTTTTTTTTATTGGAAGGAGGCTGAAAGCCAGAGAAACAAAGTCTCCGAGGATCAAAGGGAAAAGCCTGGGCGGCCATCTACAAGCAGAGGACTTCGCCCAAACTATAGGCAGACAACTATACTAATCCCCTAGGCCAACAATGACTTGTCTAGGGAAGCTAACACCAATGATGTCTTCGTACGAAGGAGTCTCTCTAGATCCATTGGAAGTTCATGTAGTTCATACGTACCAAAGGGATAGACGAGACTGTGCTTCGAGAGCCAGTCCGCGACTCTATTCCCTTCCCGATATGTATGCACCAAACGAACTATCCAATTCTGAGCTAATTGTCTGCGGATTATATTCAAAAGGGTAGCATGAGGGTGTACCGGATCCCGTCTATTGTTAATCAGGTCAATGGCTAGCTTGGAGTCGGTTTCCACAATCAAACATTGGATGTTCTTATTCCAAGCTAGCTCCAGCCCTCTATAGATGCCCCACAATTCTGCAAGAATAGCGGGCCCAGTGCCAATATTACAGCAGAAGCTGCTGATCCAATCGCCATTCTCGTCTCTGATGCACCCACCTGCTCCCATGAGGCTTGGATTATCTTGAGCTGAGCCATCAGTGTTAAGCTTGAACCATCCAGCTGGAGGTGGACGCCAACCTATAAGTCTTTCTTCTCGATCTGGTCTTGTCGATTAATTGAGTCTAGCAGCTGTTGTTTCCCACGTCTTTGTCCAGTCCTTCGCTTTTGAGATTATATAATTGATCAAGGTCGGTCTTGACAATCTTGCCCCTTTGAAGATGAAGTCATTTCGATGTTTCCATATGTACCAACAAATAAGGGAGAAGAAATTGTTCCAGCCGCCTATCTCTTCTGTTTTTTCATCCTTTTCCAGATTCTGCTTTAGCCAGGAATCGTAATCTGCAGCAAAAAAATCATGTTGTAATTGTTGAGGAACTATTTTCTCCCAAACCTGTTTAATAGTCCTGCAATCTCTCAAGCAATGCATATTAGTTTCAGTCTCCAAGTCGAAGAGTGAGCAATTGTCGTTGGAGGTGAGATGTCTGTATTTTCTGATGTTGTTAGTCGACAACCTCCCCTTTGCAGCTGTCCAAATGAATAAACGCACTCTTTCTGGTACGTGTAGCTGCCAAATCATTCGCCATGGAATTAGATTCGTGCCGGATGTCTGGGGCGTTGCTAGAGTGTAGGCCGTGGTTGTGCTAAATCTGCCATTAGCGGTTGGTTTCCAGAAAAGTTGATCTTCCTCAGTAGAGAAAGGATCTAGCAGAAAAGCTCTCAGTTTGTCCAAAACATCCTGTGGCAGATAGCCAACCAGCTCTGCTATCTTCCAACCTGCATTGGAGTCTCAATAGTCAGCAACCTTTTTGTTTTGAGCCTCCAGGGGAACATCTGATGTCGCCAAATCCATTAGCCGTTCCTGCAAAAGCCAGGGATCCCACCAAAAGTTAGTATGTTTCCCGTTCTTAACATTTCTGGCAGCCCCCTTGCATTTAAGTTGGGTAGTATGATTGAAACTACGCCAAGCATGTGAACTTCCCTTAGTCTTCTTAAGGATCTGGACACCATCCCTGCCACTTCCATATCTGCTTCTGAGCGTTTTTGTCCATAAGGATTTATCATCAGTTGCTAGACTCCAAGCTCCCTTGGCCAACATTGCTTGGTTGGCCAACCTAGTAGGCCGAATCCCCAATCCTCCATGGGAGCGAGGAAGTACACCCTGGTTCCAAGCCACTGTGTGAAGTTAATAGCATAAATTTCCCTTCCTCTATGAAAAAGAAAAAAAGTTAATAGCATAAATTTCCCCTCTACTATTACATTTCTCAAATATGTCTCTCCATTATTTTTCACATCATATTTGCCCACCTACTATATCATGTTATCAAATTTACATTTATATTATTTTTTTCGTCCAAACTTTGTTAAGCGTGGACAAACTATCGACTGTCCTGCTGAAATAACTAAAATACCCTCAATTATAAATGAAAAAAATAAAGCATAATGGTATTTTAAAAATATTCACTTTGTACAAAACGGTTACAAACCTTTAATTTTGCATGTTTCAGTAACATATGTTTGGACTAATAACAAAAAGGTAATTCCATCTATCTTCATCCAAAATTCGGTTTGTTCCAGTCAGCATCCACATCATCAAAACAATTAATAAAACTAAAATAAAAACCAATTAAACCTCAACAACCCACCCGACCACCACCCCAATCCAACTAGGGATGGCAACAAAACCCGATCCCACGGGTACCCACCCGACCCAACCCGGTCAACGCGGGTAAAATCCGTGTTGACGGGTTTTGGGCGGGTTTGGGTTTAAACCCGTTCACTATTCACCGGGTTGGGTTGGGTTTGGGTTTAGGTAAACCCGACCCATGGGTACCCGCCCATACCCATATAATTAATTTTCTAGGTATATTTAATATTCTAAACAACTAATCTTATTTATGTTTGTGGAGATATGTCTACTTTTTTCTTTCTAATTGTGTAGAATGAAGTTGATGTTATCGAGTGGAGAGTGACGAAACTTAATTGAAAGGAAGAAGCTTTCAATTAATCATGTTATTTATGGATAATTTATGATTTGCTTCAATTTTCTTGAGTTTTCTAGATTGGTGTTGAACAATTTGTATAGTTAATTTGTGATTTGCTTGAATTTTCTAGAATGGTGTTTTAAATATGGATAATTTGTATTGAGAGATTGATATTTGACGTTAATTTTGATAGGAATTTGTTATTGTAAATTTTTTACGACAAAAATCCGTGGGTACCCATGAACCCGCGGATACCCAACGGGTTGGGTTGGGTTTGAGGTTTTCAAACCCAGTGGGTTTTACCCCGGGTTTTTTCACAGATAATCCCACGGGTTTGAGTTTGGCAAAACCCGACCCAACCCGATCCATTGCCATCCCTAAATCCAACCCATTCCTTTCTATCTCCTCTCCCTCTCCTCGGCATCTCCACACCGCCCATATGCGTTTAGAGGCTTCAAAGTTTGGAATTAGGAACTAGCAGCAGCGGTGGCGGCGAGTTTGGAAGCTTCGAGCTCGGCGGCTTTCATGAGAAAGCTCTAGTCATCGTCCTCCAGTCCAGAGCCATCTGGATCGGGTTGGATCCCAGCCAGTCCGCGATCGCCAGCAGGATCGTCCTCACCTCCGGCCGATACTCCTCCAGGTCCACATTCCCATTGTCGTCACCGTCAAACTTATCGAAGATGGAGTCGTAGAGCTTGGTGAGCTCCTCGGGGCGGGTGGGTGTGTCGACGCCGAAGTCCTTCTCCACCAGGCGGATCGGAGGGTCTCGAACCACGTCCTTGTTGGCGTCAAGGAGGGCGAAGGTTTCCTCCACGCTCCTGTTGAAGTGGGTCGCGTCCTCCGTGAAGTTACGGACCGTCGCGCCGTCAATTAGCACCACTCTAATTTGACTTCTCTCTCTCTAACTCTCGGAGTTTACAGAGGGTTTCGATTTTGCAGTGATGGGGCCGATTGGAGGTATTTATTAAGGATGAGCAGAGGAAGAGAAAATGAGGAGGAGAATGAATGGTATTAATTGGACCAATCTGAGTGATAGAGAGAAATGGCGTGGGTTGGCCTAGGGGTGGTGGGTTGGTTTAAAATAGGGATGGCAATGGGTCGGGTTGGGGTGGGTTTTGTCAAACCCAAACCCAAACTCATGGGTTTATCCGTCAAAAAAATCCGGGGTAAAACTCGTTGGGTTTGAAAAACTCAAACCCAACCCAGCCCGCTGGATATCCACGGGTTAGATGGAGATTGACGGAATTACATTTTTGTTATTAATTCAAACATATGTTACTGAAATGTGTAAAATTAAAGGTTTGTAACCATTTCATTTTTTTTTACAAATAACTACCAAAAACCAAAATAAGGAATAATAACCAATCTTGTCCCTCCTCAGTCCTCACCTATCTTCTCCTTGGACAAATCCATTTACCACCACGCAGTCGTCCATCTCCGAACCCATAATCTGCTTCCCTAATCCCAAAATCAAAGAAACAACTCATTCATTCTCTCTTATTCCTCTTGTTCAATCTATTGGAATTAGGTTTTTGAGATTTCTATTTTGGATGGGTGTTTTAGATCAACGATTAAGGTTTTGTAGGTGCAGGTTTTATCATCCAAGTCGTCGCCGGCTCCCGAAGCTCGTAACATAAACTTTAAACCATGCCGTAACTCTTACTTGGAAATCCAGATCTCATTATCTAGTGTCGGTGCCATCATCGTCCCGTCACTTCAGTTGTCAAGCAGATTGTCGTCCCAGATCTCGTGGGTGTCGATGTTGGGGAGAACCCGCAGACCGATCTGATCCCGTGGTCATTGATCTGTTTGTTGAAAGTTGAGCAACTAAATTTGGGTGGGAATAAGTTTTACGGGATTTCCCCGGATTTGTGTGCCGCCATTGATCTTGTTCCACCATCGAAATTCGAACTTCTCTGTTTTTTGGCTGGCGAAGGTAAAGTGTAATTTGTAGGGGGAAACAGGTAATTTAACCTCAACTCATGCTTGGTCTAACCTTGGTTCACCGAGTTCAGACAGAAAACGTAACAGAAGGGCAGATTTGGGTATGTGATTATAATAAAGGGAACGTTTGATGTAAAAAATAGTAGAGGGGCAAGTTTGAGAAAATGCAATAGTAGAGGGGCAATTTTTGCTATTAACCCAAAAGAACCACTAATTAATCTATCTATTTTTAATTACATTCACAATCGATCTATTTGGGACAATAAACGTATTCGAACAATACTAAAACGAGCAATCAATCTATTTGGAACAACAAACGTATTCGAATAATATTAAAATGGGTAAAGGATTTTAAATTCACTTGAGAAATGTTTCAGACTTGAACGCATATTTTGGGCAAGATTTTCTTAAACACACCCTTGGTACGACCAACTCGCTCCGGAATATAAAGACTCTCCAGGGAGAAATTGAACACTTGAAAAATGTGCACCCGATTAATTGGGAGGAAGTGCGAGACCTGGAACTGGAGCTGAGTAGACAGTGGGATGCTGAGGAGATATACTGGCAGCAAAAATCCAGTGTTCGGTGGCTGAAAAGGGGTGATAAGAATTCCTCATACTTTCATACGGTCACTAGAACTCGCCGTAAACGAAATTTTGTGTCTGGTCTGCGTAATGAGGAAGGGGATTGTGTCACGGATGAGAAAGGTAAAGCTGATATCGCCAGTCAATTCTATGAGAACCTATTCGCGTCGGAAAATACCGTGTTGAATATGAGGGCTAGAATAGAGGGACTGCCGATTGCCAGGAGTGTTACTCAGGAGATGAACATAATGCTTACGGCTGTGGTCCTCCCCCAGGAGGTTCGGAACACAGTGTTTGCCATGGGATCCAAGCAGGCTCCCGGGTCTGATGGGTTCACTGGTAAGTTCTTTAAAACCTTCTGGGATATTGTTGGCCCCTCCGTAATTGATGTGGTTTGCTCGTTCTTCGAAAATGGTCGAATGCTCAGAAGCTTTAATCATACATGGCTGACATTAATTCCTAAGGTGGACCAGGTGGAGAGTATGAAACAGTTGCGCCCTATCAGTTTATGTCAATTTGTGTACAAGATCATCACCAAGATTATGATAGAGCGCCTTGCAGGCATCTTGCCTCGCATAGTCTCTGCCGGGCAGAATGCTTTCATTCGGGAGAGACAGATCATTGAGAACATTCTGATTGGTCATGAACTTATGCACTATTTGAAGCTTAAGAATCGCGGGAAGAAAGGGTACATGGCTCTTAAGGTTGACATGGAAAAGGCCTATGATAGAGTCGAATGGCCATTTCTTCTTGCGATTTTGGAGAAGATGGGGTTTAATTCGGTTTGGTGCGAATGGATACATGAATGCCTCCGGTCTGCCTCCTTTTCGGTCCTCATGAATGGCTCCCCGTCGGGGTACTTCTCTCCGTCTCGAGGGCTCCGGCAAGGTGACCCTCTGTCCCCTCTGTTGTTTGTACTGTGCACGGAGGGCTTTGCTGCTTTAATCAATCAAGCGATAGATGCTGGCAGATTACAAGGGGTGAAGGTGGCCCCTAGAGCCCCCCGGATCTCTCATTTGTTCTTTGCCGACGACTCCTATTTATTCCTTAGGGGCTCTCTTCAGGAATGTGAAAACTTGATTACAGTCCTTAACGAGTATGAGGAATTAAGTGGGCAAAGAGTAAATTTGAGTAAATCGGCTGTTTGTTTTAGCAAAAACATTGGGCAAGAGGATCAGGAGTTTTTAGCTGCTGGGGGTAGGGGCGGTTGGAGTTCAGGACAAGTATCTGGGGCTACCTACCTTGATTGCTCGCTCTAAAATGGAGACCTTCCGTTACCTGGAGGAGAAATTGCTTGCTAGGCTGCAAGGGTGGAAGCAACGTACCCTGTCGTGGGCTGCTAGGGAAACCTTGATTAAATCCGTTGCCCTAGCTTTGCCTTTGCATGTAATGTCTTGCTTTAAGCTGCCTCTATCCCTATGTCGGCTGTTGGATAAACATGTGGCTCGCTTTTGGTGGGGGGTAACGGAGGACCACTCGAGGATTCGATGGATGTCTTGGAGGAATTTATGCAGGAGCAAGCATGATGGGGGATGGGTTTCCGCCGATTTGAACATTTTAACCAAGCTTTATTGGCAAAAATAGGATGGCTTATCCTGAGTGAACCCCAGTCGCTTTTGGCCCAGGTCTACAAAGGGAAATACTTCCCCACAGTCACCTTTCTCCAGGCTACTGCTCGATCCCGGCCGTCATGGGGCTGGCAGAGTATCCTTTTTGGAAGGCAGCTATTGGAGCAGGGTCTTCGTTGGCAAATTGGTAATGGGCGGTCGGCTTCCCTTCTCTTCTCCAAGTGGATACCGCGCCTTCAGCAGGACCCCCTGGTTTATAATCCCCGGATTCTTCCAGAAGAGGGGGATCCGAGGGTGGCAGAGGTAATAAGGAAAGGGGAAGGGTGCTGGTGTGATGACAAGTTAGAACAGTGGTTTGATCCTCCTACATGTCGGGCTATCAAGGCTATTCCGCTCCCTCGGGAGAATGTGGAGGACAAACTCATTTGGCACGGTACTACTGATGGGGTTTTTTCGGTGAAATCTGCCTACCATCTAGCTGTGGAGCTCGATAGGAGGAATGGATGCTGGCGGTCGACTGTGAGTTGTATGGATAGGGCTAGCTGGATACGCTTGTGGGAGGCTGATATCCCCCCCCAAGTTGAAGGTATTCCTGTGGCAAATCTTTCACCGAATCATCCCTACTACAGAGGCCCTAATTGGAAAGAAAGTACCGGTTGTGGCTCGGTGCCCAGTTTGTTGGGAGGAGTCGGAAACGGTAGAACATTTGTTCCTTGACTGCCCTGTGGCTAGAGCACTTTGGGACTTTGCGGGTTTGGAGTATCTGGGGCAGGGGTTGCCTCGCCATACTTTCCCCCTCTTTCTTAAGCGAATGCTTGCTTTAGTCCATCAGCCTGAGGTTCTCCTGCTAGTGGTGGCGGTCCTCTGGCGAATTTGGAAGTCAAGGAATTGGGTGGTTTTTGAGGGCAAGCAGTTTGGCTTTCCGGCCTTGATGCGTCAAATTCACCAGCAATGTGCGGAATGGAAGAGGTTGCCTGTGGATCCGGTTATTGTTCGCCTTGTTCCCTCTTGCCCTCCTGTTACTATGGGTGGGGGTCCGAGTGTTATCTGTTCATGGGATGGGGCTACCCGGGCAGGGTCCCACTCGGCAGGGGGTATGGTCCTGCATAGCCCTCAGAGAGAGGTTCTGCAGGTTCATGGGTTGCAGTTTCAGGATGCTGATGATCCGATGGTGGTGGAACTTCTCTCCCTTCGGGAAGCGCGTTATTGGTGTGTTAATCATGGTCTGCAGGATGTCCGGTTTGAAGGGGATGCCAATGTCATCATCGACAAGATAAATCGTGCTGATATCAGGGATAGTCGATGTGGGGGTATCCTGGAAGAGGTGGTCCATTGTTTTGCTTCTAATGCGGGATTTACTGTGCGGTTTGTAGGTCGGAATAGTAATAGGGTAGGCCATTTGGTGGCTAGAAAGACCCTTTCTTTGTCTCCGGCTACTTGTCGTTCCTTTGATTTCAAGGCCTGGCTGTTCTCCAGGGTGTAGTTACCTATTTATTTCAATCAATATAAGATTATCTTTTGTCAAAAAAAAAAAAAAAAGAGATAATGCATGCTATAGATGGGTTTCATTCTAGTAGTTCACGTGAAGTTACAACCATTTCACGTATAGATATAGCAAACTGTGGTGTGTCATAAACCTACTGATCTCAATAACTCGAGTTATTGGGAGAAGGTTATTATGAATCTTATAACACTCTTTTACACGCCCTCTAAAACGAAGGCCGAATTATGGGTTTGAAGTTTGCACAGGTTCACCAGCTTTCGCTTTAATCAACTGTTAATATTGGAGGTCGTGGAGATTCAAACACCCAACCAATTGGTCCCAATAACATGAGTTATTTGGAGAAGGTTATTATGGATCTTATAACACTCTCTTACATGTATTCAGTAGGTAGTATGTGACTGTAGGGGTGATTCTATCATATGTTCTTTACGGGTTGAGATTGAAGCGAAAGCTCTTTAAAACTCATTTAGATTTTTTTTCAAGAAGGTAGAATTCAATGCATGTAAAACTAAAACTTCAAGATCCTGATTCATGTTATCGCGAGTCAAGCTATATGACCATAAAGATGATGTGCATGGATTGCTATTATGACGAGTGTTTTGAGGTATACCCCGTCCACTGAAGTTATCACAAATTGGTCCACACATGTGTTTTGATATGGGTAAATTGTTAGTTTGATCACTGAAAGTGCTACAATATTCATGTTTGGTCACTAAAAGAATTTTATTCCATTCATGGTCACTAGAAGTGCTTAACGTTTCACGATTGGTCACTCTCCGTTAATCTCCGTCCATCTCCGCTAACTGAGTCCGTTATCTGGTGACGTGACTAACAGAATTGCCAAGTCAGCCTGATTTAACCGGGAAAAAGGAGACCCGACCCGTGAACCCAACCCATGATACGGGTTGACCTAAGAACAAGCCAATAAAATTAAAAATGAAGAAACATGAGGCTGCTTTTCTCGATCCATCTCCTTCTTCCCTAGACTCTTCCTCTACCCTTTTCTGCAAAATTAGTCCAAGACCAGCCTTGTTCTTCTTCATCGCGCCTCTTCTTCTTCCTCTATTCCACCCCACTTAAAATCCTAAATCGACTTGCAGCTCTCTTTTCTCCCATTCTCAGCTCACCGCTTCATTAATCATCACCAGGCACTACTTGAATCTGTACTAGAGTCATCAAATCGCAACACCAACAAAATTTGTTGAACCCACCGTCTTTCCACCTCTGCATCACGTCCGCAGACATCGTCGACGAATCTATATTCAACGGGGTGAACATGAGCACAGGGAGTTGCTATGCCATCCTGATGAGCATCGTGAATCACCACAAACACAGATCAAACGTTTCAGTATCTAGGTTTCCCAGAAGCTTTAAAAGAGGCAAAGAAGATAAGAAAGCAGCGGCGACTGGCCAAGAAGAAGATCTACCAGAAAATCCTCCACCGCCTTTGGTAAATCGTTAGAAGATCACCTCTCTGGATCCTTAATCGCAGACCAGATCCCCAATCGTGTTATGCTATGCTCCTGAATCTTTCCTCCTCTCGCGTTAGCAAAACCTCAAGAGCTCCCAATCGTGGTTTGCTCTGGGTTTTGGCCAAAAGTGGAAATTTTTTTGTTCTCCGCTCGATTCAAGATGGGTCTGGTTGTTCGTATTGTGGTTGAGAGAGATTTCTTGAATCTATCTAAGACCAAGTATTATTCCTCATCCAATAGAAACTTCCACTATGATGATTGATGAGGCAGCAGCATAAGGAGAATATGAAACCAAGATGGAGATTTCAATTGGAAGAAAAAGAAGAGGAGAGGCAAGCGGGTTATGTGGTTTGGTTGGATTGTGTGGGGATTTTCTTACGTGGCGGGCCGAATTATATGACATGGCAGGTTTAAATTGGGTGAATCAGCATTTGTGTTAGCCACATAAGCAAAATATTAACGGTGTTAACGAAGACGGACGGAAACTAACGGAGAGTGACCAATCGTGAAACGTTAAGCTCTTTCATTGACTACGAATGGAATAAAATTCTTTTAGTGACCAAACATGAATATTTTAGCACTTTCAGTGACCAACCTTACAATTTACCCGTTTTGATATGGTATTAACATACAAAAGGTGTCTCACCTTGATTCCAAGCCCACTCTAAGGAAGTCCAAGACTCCTATATAAGGAGGCTCATGCCTCCAAGCAAAAGATCTCCTCATCTTCCTACTCCCACCACTTGAGGTCTGTCTCTAACTTCCATACACACTATTGTTACACCGTACTAACTACTTGGGCGTCAGAGTATAGATCACGGGGGTCACCCCCTCTTCTTCACATATTCTTTTACTCTCGAGAAGATTGGACAAGAGAGTACAGATCAGAACCCATAATATTACTGTATTGACCTAGAGTACATTCTAGATTCAAACAACATGAAAATTAATTGAGTTGCTCATTCTTTAGCTTATAATGCATCTCTATCAAGCAATTGAATTCTAATCCTTTGACTTAATCATATTTGCTCATGACAAGTCGATCGTTTTTGTTGAATGATACCAAAAACTAGGGGGGAAAAGAGGTATACAAAATGCAAATTAGGCTCATGCAAGACACACGAATTTGGGGTATACTATTACTAAATACTAACCCTACCCGCCAATCCTGTAATGGATCAGATATGAGCAGAGAGAGTAGAAAGAATCTCAAGACCAGCCCCAACAATCACCCCTTGGCCCAATCATAGCCTTCCACCTCAGCACCTTCCCTCTTCCCGCCTTATCCCCTTGTTTCCCCTCCTCCACTACTTCCCCATCTCTTCCCCCATCAGAATCTAAAAACCTCTTCCCCTGTTCTGTTCTCCACACTCCCTTCCTCAGAGCTAGAACAAGAAGGCGAAGAAGAGCGAAGAAAAACGAGCAAAAATGTCTCTCACAATCCCCACCAACCTCTCCAACCCAATGCTGAAGCTCAACCCTAAGCTCGCCGCCTCCTTCCTCCTCCCCAAATCGCAATCCCTCTCTCGATCCAACTTTGTATGCTCTGCCTCCCAAGACAGCAACAACAACTCCACCGCCTCGCCTCTCCAGGCCTTCTCCGCCGCCCTAGCCCTCTCCTCCATCCTCCTCTCCGCCCCACTCCCGGCCGTCGCCGACATCTCCGGCCTGACCCCGTGCAAGGACTCCAAGCAGTTCGCTAAGCGGGAGAAGCAGTCCCTGAAGAAGCTGGAGTCGTCGCTGAAGCTGTACGCCCCCGACAGCGCCCCTGCCCTGGCGATTAAAGCCACCATGGAGAAGACTAAGCGCCGGTTCGACAACTACGGGAAACAGGGCCTGCTGTGCGGCTCCGATGGGCTCCCGCACCTGATCGTGAGCGGCGACCAGAGGCACTGGGGCGAGTTCGTGACCCCAGGGGTGCTGTTCCTCTACATCGCCGGGTGGATCGGGTGGGTGGGGCGGAGCTACCTGATTGCAATCAGCGGGGAGAAGAAGCCCGCCATGAAGGAGATCATCATCGATGTTCCCCTGGCTACTGGGTTGATCTTCAGGGGATTCTCTTGGCCCGTTGCTGCTTACAGAGAGTTCATCAATGGAGACCTCGTTGTGAAGGATGTTTGAAATCTCTTGATTTTGATTTTGGGTGGGGTAAAAACAGAAAAGGGGATCTGGGAATTTGCTTGGGAATGTTTGTAATTACACTTTAAATCAGTTCAATTGATGTTTGTTTCTGAATTGTGTGTGGTTAGCTGATGGATTGACATCCAATTTATTTGCAGGCTGCCTGAACTCGAGCGAGTTTCGTTTCATTTCATTTCATATGATGGTAACATAACATAGCTTAAATGGTATGATATTATTCGGAATTCCAATCAAATGTGCCTGTGTTGTTAATTAGTTTGATGAAATCGTCAATGGCGGTGAAGAAAACTGCGCTGGACACCAAATTTTACGCGGTATTTGAATGCATTCGCATCAATGTAGGATAGTATGAAGCTTCAGAATCAGTGAATGATCGATTCATGTCTCTCAACTTGAGCAAGGTATAGGATTCTGAAGTGTTAATTGAATGCTGAAATGTCGACTGTTAAAGGCAAACTTCTACTTGTAGTTATAAATAAATCATAGTAGTGGCTCTAGAGTCTAGATAAGCAGCAGGACTACTGGCTGTCTAAGCACATTACAGAATGACACTATAGATAGATGTTAAAACTATTTTTATATGTACAATCCAGCAAACAAACCCAAATACCAAACGCAGAAAAGAGAAGAGAAGAGATAAAAACGGCTCGAACGGCCACAGATGTCGGCCGGGTCGTTACCGCTCCACCGCCATGGTAGAGGTAGAGCTGCTACGTGCTATTTATTGTGCTTCCTTGCTTGTATTGTATACCATAGACTACTAGAACTAGAGTCTAGAGTAAGAAAGAAAAATCCTCCATTTTCAAATACTCAAACTGGAGATAGTGGAATGTAGGATGATGAGAATGGGTCTGGGCTAGGTAGTCAGGGAGCTAGACTAGCACGACCACATGGACTGGTCGATCTCGAAGATGGGAGGGATAATCCCCATGAGGCTTGAAGGAGGAGGAGACCCAGCTGGGCTCCCTGCAGAGAAGCCCTGGCGGAGGCGGAGGTGGACCACCTCAGCTTGGGCCAGAGCCAGCTGGGTCTGGAGCAGGTCGATCTGCTGCTGCAGCGACGAGATGGCGCCCACGCAGCCGTACACCGGGTCCCGCACCCTGGCGTTGGCTTCGTACACCATGCTGCTCACCGCGTCTCCTCGCTGGTGCACTGCTAATTCCTGCACCCACCACCCCACCAAGTAGTTTCTTTTGGTTAGAGTTAATTCTCTTTTGGACCAATCCAATCCAACCAAACGCCACTACTATTTCACATATTTCAACCAAAATAAGGGACACAGGAGTTTCACATCAAGATTTAACTAACTCGCCAAAAACTGCCCACACTCTGTTTGGCTAGAGAGGAGATGGTGCAAATTAGAGGGTTTAACACAATTTTCAACAAAGTTTATACCTGTTTGGTCAATTTGTAATTTTAGGGGTGCACATTTGCTATAGGGAAGAAATGAGGGAAGGGGTGAGAGTCATCATAGATTTGTATCTTTTTAATTGTTTCTATATTTACCTAATAATTAATATTATGAATTGTTTTATTATAGTTATTAACTTATTATTAATGTAAACGTTGTTAGGGTGACCGATTGATTCCGAGAGCAAGTTTGTCAAGGTTTGCCTAGTCGAATCAAGATCTCATAGGTGACTTGAATTTGCATTGAAAATTAGAAAGAAAAAGTGTTTGTGGAAAAGGTAGAGAGGAATGGTTGATTGACTCGATTTACTGGACTAAATAATTAAAATTTATAGATTTAAACGTGTTTGACTAAATTTGACCAGATCCAGTTTAAAGTTAAACTGGGTACGAGAATCTAGTAAGATGACCAATTACGATTAGGACTTGGAGCTTCGAGGATGCTCGACCAATGAAAATTACCATTGTTATAAATAATTACTATTTGATCATTATCTATTTAATGTTTTTTAAAAGTATACTTATTAATATTTATGATTAAAATATATAAAGTTTTTATGTTATTATTTTGTGATACTCTCTTATAAATTTATTTTGTAATAGTATAATTTACTTAATTTCACTCTATGTGCCAAGCTAGTCATCATCTTAGATTTTTCTAAAATCACCCTTCACATCAATTAATGTACATAAACATTTCATAAATTTAAACACTAAGTCGTATCACCGCAAAACAAATCAAATAAAAATCATGGTAAAAGTTAGGATGATGAATAACAACCCTTTGTTTGTTCATCATGTAACAGCGGCAGAGAAGTGAAAAACCCTAAAACCTGGGTTTGATTTGGTATTGATGTTCAATATATATGTGGCATTGCCACTACAATCCAAGGTACAGCCTGAGTTGCTGTCCTTGCAGCAGAGTGAAGAGCAAGGAAGAAGACAAGAGAAATGGAGAAAAGTGTTCGCTAATTAATGGGATGGAACGGTGCCGCTTCGCCCAACGGTCGACTGGATTTGAGTTGGTTTGATGGAGCCTCGGACGACGTCGCACCAAGTAAACGCTGCCGTTTCCTTTTGAGTGGTCAGAGAGCTGGGTTGAAGAATTGAATTTTGCAATTCTGCTGTTACCCCCCCCCCCCCCCCCACAAGCGGGTGGGCAGAGCAGCTGAACACCAAGCTTGGACAAGATGAAGGAAAAAGTCGATGGCGGAAGAGGCTTGGTGAAGATGTCAGCCAGTTGATGCGCGGAGGACACGTGGAGTAGCTTGATCACTTTGGCCTGGAGTTTCTCACGAACCAGGTGACAATCAATTTCGATGTGTTTTGTACGCTCATGGAATGTTGGGTTGTCGGCGATGTACAAGGCAGATTGATTGTCACAGAATATGGTTGCTGGTTGTGAGTGAGGGATCTTGAAGTCTTGAAGGAGAAAGAGGAGCCATTGCACCTCACAGGCTGTGTAGGCAAGAGCTCTGTACTCTGCTTCACAAGATGAGCGCGAGACAGTATGTTGTTTCTTACTTTTCCAAGAAATTAGAGACTCGCCGAGGTAGATGCAGTATCCCGTGATGGAGCGGCGAGTATCAGGGCAGGCGGCCCAATCGGAGTCACTGTAGCCCTGAAGGTGAAGAGTGGTAGAGCTGGGAAAGAAGAGTCCAGTTGTAGGAGAAGACTTGAGGTACCTGAGAACACGGAGAAGAGCCCGAAAATGTGTCTCTGTTGGTGATGCCATAAATTGACTGAGCTGCTGGGCGGAGAAGCTTATATCTGGCCGAGTTGTGGTGAGATAAATCAGTTTCCCCACAAGGCGTCTATATGATTCTGCATCTGTGAGAGGTTGGTCTGAAGAACTAGACAGGTGAGTCTTGTAATCCATTGGGGTTGTTGCAGTGCGAGAGGAGACAGCACCAGCATCTTCAATTATCTCCAATGTGTATTTCCTCTGGGATAGATGGATGCCTGAGGATGTGCGAGAGACTTCAAGGCCAAGGAAGTATTTGGCATTGCCAAGGTCTTTGATGCCAAATGTTTGATGAAGATGAAGTTTGATGCCCTCAATTTCAGTCAGGTCACTGCCTCCAATCAGCAGGTCATCTACATACACCAGAATGCAGGTATAGGCAGATGGGGTGGCCTTGAAGAAGAGAGAGTGATCAACCTTGCTAGATTCATACCCCTGTGAGTGTAAGCAATCAGCAAGTTTGGACAACCATTGCCGAGGAGCTTGTTTCAAGCAATAGAGCGACTTTTTCAGTCTGCACACTGGATTTGGAATATTAGGAGGAGGTATAAGGCCTTTGGGAAGTTTCATATACACCTCTTCTCGAAGATCGCCATGTAAAAATGCGTTGTTCACATCAAGCTGGTGAACAATCCAGTTTTTGGCTGCTGCAATGGCTAGAAACAGTCTTACAGTTGTCATTTTGATGACTGGTGCAAAGGTGTCTTGGTAGTCCACACCTTCTTGTTGACTGAATCCCTTTGCCACAAGTTTGGATTTGTGACGTTCAAGACTGCCATCTGACAAGAATTTCAGTTTGAATAGCCATTTGTTGCCAATGGCTTTTTTCTTTGGAGGAAGTGAAACCACGTCCCAAGTCTCATTCTGAATCAGTGCTTTGAGTTCATGTTGAACCGAATTGTCCCATTCTGGATTTAGAATGGCTTCTTCATATGAATCTGGTTCCTTGTAGGAAGAGATACTGAGAGCAAATCTCTGGTGCTGATGAGATAAACTGGAATAGTCAATCAAAGCAGCTAATGAAGTAGCATTACCTGGAGTCTGGTGCTTGGAAGAGTGACTGGAAGAAGAAGGCTGTTGAGGCAGGCTGCAAAGGTAAGGGTAAAAGCGAGCAGGTTGTTTGGTTTGTCTGGGAGGTTTCCTCAGGGCAATGGGAAGGTTAGGGTCAGGTTGGTTTGGAGGAGATGGAGGGGCAGCAGGAGGTGGTGGTGGTGGTGGTGGTGATGGGTTTGGATCAGAGTTTGTTGATGGTATAACAGGTGGAAGTGGTGAGTTGGGGCTGTAAGGAGGGTCTGAGGGATCAAGAGTGGGGACAGTGGAGTAAAGGGGTAGGTCAGAGGGTGTTATTTGGTATTGTAGTTGGTGAAAGGGGAATTGATCTTCATAGAAGATGACATCTCTCGAGATGAAGACATCATGAGAGGTAAGATCATAGATCTTGTATCCTTTGATTCCAGAAGGATATCCTATGAATACTCCTTTCCTTGCTCTATTTTGGAATTTGGTCCTATGATTGCTAAGGGTGGAAGCATAGCATAGAGAGCCAAAAACCTTAAGGTTTGATAGGTCAGGTTGTTTTGTATGGAGTTTTTCATAAGGGGAGATATCACCTAAGACTGTTGTAGGGATTCTGTTGATTAAAAAAACAGCATGCTTTACACATTCACCCCAGAATCCCATAGGGAGGTTTGACTGAAATTTTAAGGCTCTGGCAATGGCTAAGATGTGTTGATGCTTTCTTTCTACCTTGGTGTTTTGGTGAGGTGTCTCAACACAGGACATCTCATGGAAAATGCCACTAGAGGAAAAAAAATCTGACATTTGAAACTCTTTTCCTTGATCACTTCTGATCTTTTTAACTGAGTGATCAAATTGTCTTTCAGCAAGAACACAGAATTCTTGAAGTTTTGTTCGAGCTTCAGATTTGTTTGGCAATAAGATAATTTATGTCATTCTGCTAAAGTCATCTACAATGGTTAAGAAATATTTAAAACCATCATATGTAGGACAAGAGTTTGGCCCCCAAATATCAACATGGATTAATGAAAATGGTTTGGAAGTAACTGTGGTACTATCTGGGAAAGGAAGCCTCCTTTGCTTTGCAAAGTGGCAGACATCACAAGGAAGAGAACTGTTTGTATCTATAGAATTACAGATTTTTTTGAGCTTTTGTATCTTGAAATGAGACACATGACCAAGTCGAAAATGCCATAAGTCAAAAGCAGTTGCAGTAGTAGTTGCTATGACAGGTTTAGGTCTACTGGTTTTTCCTAGGTTGGTCATGTGGTAAAGGCCATTGGAGAGCTCAGCAGAACCAGTCACTCTTCTGAGCTCCATATCCTGTATCAAGCACAGATCAGAGGAGAAAGTTAAGCACAAAGCCTTATTTGTGGTTAACTTACTGACTGATATGAGGTTGAAGGCAAAGCGAGGAACAAAGAGAACCCCTTCTAGGACCAGTTCTGCAACAGTGGTGACTCTACCAATGTGTGTAGCTTTTACTTGAGTTCCAGTAGGTAGAGTAATGAATACATTTTGCAATTCTGCTGGTTGTTCTAGGAGGCTCAGGGAACACACAATGTGATCCGAAGCCCCAGTGTCAAGGATCCAGGTAGAGCTGGATTGTTTACTACCAGACACATTGAGAGAATGTTTACCTGGAGGGCCTTCATAAGAGTGAAAAGCTGCTGCAGTATGTGTGGTTTCTTTCTGGTTGTCCTTGTCCCTCAGCATAGCCATGAACCGATCATAGTCTCCCTTGGTCAGTCTCACTTCTTGATCATCCAATGATGTCGAGGGAGAGGCATTAGTGTTGTTGTTGAGTGCCATGAATGCATTGGACGAAGGCCTTGGAGTGGAGGACTGAGAAGTTGGCTTGGATGTAGGGTTGGATGGCCAACCATGTTTGTGGTAGCACCTGTCTTCAGTGTGACCTTTGCGCTTGCAGAAGGTACATTCTGGAGCTTTCCCTTGAGAGTTGGGGTTTGAGGATTGTGGTGTCATACCAGGTGGCCACCCGTGCTTTTGATAGCAAACTTCTTCGGTGTGACCACTCCTGCGACAGTAAGTGCAGAATGACCTTTTTCCTGGAGGGCCATGAGCAGCTAAGGCAACAGATTCAGCGGCCATGACTTTGCTGTGCTGGGTTCCATACTGCTGATGCTCATGTTGAAGAAGTCTTTGAAAGACTCGATCAATGCTAGGGAGTGTCTCTCCAAAAAGAATTTGGGATCTGACTGTGTTGTAGTTGTCATTGAGACCTCTGAGGAATTGAATCACATAGTTTGTGTCTCTATAACCTAGAACTTGCTTGAGGCTGGATAGAGCTTCAATTAGTTCAGCCACTCTGACTATGTCACCCTGGCCATAGCGAGCTTTGAGGCTGGACCATGCTTCAGATGCAAGTTTCAAGGACATGAGGGTCTTGCGAATGCCAGGTTCCACTGCCTGTTGGATCCAGCTGAGCACCATAATGTTGTTACGAGTCCAGGACCAGAGAAGAGCAGCATTTGTTGAAGCAGGAACAGGGATGGTGCCATCGATGAAGCCAATCTTGTTCTTGGCTCCAAGGGCATTCAGCATCGCCTTGCTCTAGTCATTGTAGTTTGTTGTGCTGAGCTTTTCACCTACTAACACCAGGCCAGGTTGCTCTGATGCGTGGAGATAGAAAGGATCCGACATAGGATCCAAATTTTCAGTGATTTCGGTCGCCATGGTGGAAGGTTGTTAATGGCGGCTAGGGTTTGGCTCTGATACCATAACAGCGGCAGAGAAGTGAAAAACCCTAAAACCTGGGTTTGATTTGGTATTGATGTTCAATATATATGTGGCATTGCCACTACAATCCAAGGTACAGCCTGAGTTGCTATCCTTGCAGCAGAGTGAAGAGCAAGGAAGAAGACAAGAGAAAAGGAGAAAAGTGTTCGCTAATTAATGGGATGGAACGGTGCCGCTTCGCCCAACGGTCGACTGGATTTGAGTTGGTTTGATGGAGCCTCGGACAACATCGCACCAAGTAAACGCTGCCGTTTCCTTTTGAGTGGTCAGAGAGCTGGGTGGAAGAATTGAATTTTGCAATTCTGCTGTTATCATGTGTTTGGGTTGATGCTATGGCGCCAATATCGGTTGGCCCCATTCAAGCGTGGAGTCAGTCTACTACTCCCTTCAACTTGAGACGCGCACATGCAATGCAATATGCAACAACGCCCTCCCTCTTTCAATCCAATCAAAAGAAAGTAAAAGAAGAAGAAGAAGAACATAAATATGCTTAGGGCTTAATTTGGCTCCACCAATAATTGTTTATTTGTCCCCCCCCCCCCCCCCCCCCTCTTTGAATTAGTGGAACGCCTCATGAAATCATCGACAGATTTAACTTTTTCTTCTTTGATGTTCGACAGGCAGATTTAGCTTTCATTATGACTTGAGTATAACGTGAGAAAAACTAACTAACTGTTGAAAAGGGAAAAGGACAGCTTTGAATTCCAAATTTGCCTAGTTTACTTCACAACCCCTGTTTTCCCTCTGTTAGCGTTATTATGTAAAACAACTAACTTCTTCTCCTCATGATGTCATGCAAGTAATGTCTTCGTAATTACTTTTTGAAACAGACATGGAAAATTAAAATCTATATAAATTTTAATTGTTGCGAAGAACTTTGTAATAGAAATAATTTCAACACAAGTGTTTTTGACAATCACGATGAGATAATGAAAAATAATAAGTATCGGAATTATTCCTAATTATCTATTTACCAATCCCACCAACAAGATGGGGGTGGAGTTTAAATTGAAAAAGGCATTAGTTTGTGCTGAGCAATTTCGTGAATATGAAATAGAGGGAGGGGGGCTTTTTTTAACTTATCCTTTAGCCGCTCTCAAAAAAGCTATTCATCTGATGGATGGGAAGAATAAACGTACACATGATTTATATTATAATACCATGTGCATGAATAAGAGATAAGGGGAGGTTTCTGTAATTTGCGCTTGGCCCCTACCCTACTTGTCGTCTTTGTCCCATTCTTTGTGCTTACATCCTAATTCATCCTCTAGTTTAGCAATTAGCATCATATTGCATTCGGTTACTTTACTTGTGCAATTTATATATATATATCTCTTAATCATGACTTGGTTAGGTGGCTAAATTGTAACTAAACCCTTGTAAATTGTTAGTAAAAGTTGGTTTTTCTCATAGTAACTATGTTCAAGACAAAGATATCAAACAGAAAGATACAAAAGTAGTTCGAATTAAATCAATAACAATAAATTAAATTTGTGTAATTTGTTTAGTGATAATTTAGAAGAATAAAATTCATCACATCATGAATTCAAACCTTCATATAAAATCATCATTACTAAAGTAGCAGGGAACTGGAATTAGAAAGCAGAGATTATATATAATTATACTCCCTTTCAAAAAGAAAAAAGAAGAAGGAAAAAAAACAGCAAAAACGAAAGGACAAATACGCATGCAGCTAGCTTAGCTATACACTTAATAATAATTTCACTTTGAAAAGAGTGAATTTGACAGATTGGGGTGCCTCTCTTGGTTATGACTGTACAGTGTGGACTGGAAACAGAAGTGCTAACTTAACTAGAAAAGAAAAAAACAATCATTGAGCTACCAACCTAGCTGCAATAGTACGTACGTACGTAGTAATGGAACAAGCAAAGGCGTGACAAGTAAGAAGAAACAGAAAGAGGAGAATTGCTTACCTGAAGCATCTTGTTGACATTGCTAGCGCCGAAGACCTTGTGGACGTTAGCGAACTTGTGGGGCTCTTCCGCCGGGAAGTATGGCGCGAACACGCAGTATTTGGCGCACCTCCTCCTCAGCAGCTTGCACGCCGCGCATGGCGACGCCGCCGCCGCTTGTTTCCTCTCTCTTTCCTTCATCTCTTCAGTCCGCCGCCGCCCGTCCTCTACTCGATCTATATAAGTACTATAAGGGCACCCCTGCCCTCCAACCGACACTTTTTTCACCTTTTGATGCTTTAGTGGCGACAAGAGAAGAGGCCAATTAACTAACAACCCCTTCACTTCATTTGACTTGACTTGTGGGGGGAAAAAAGAGGACAAGTTGCTGCAGTACTGATTCTGCAGGTACACTACAGTTTCACTTACAAGACTGAGGGCATGAACGAGAAAGAGAGCAGCGGCCGGGGAGTGGAAGAAGAGAAGAGAAGAGAGGTGATTTTGTTAGTATATAAAGAAAAGAAAGACCGGCGGGCGGGCGGGTGGGTGAGCCATCATCCCATCCCATTTAGAGTTAGAGGGGCCCAGCCTAGTGCATGTCGCTAGCTAGGGGCCAAACATTTGTAAAGCGCGCACGCAACGCAAGCAAAACGGCAATAAGAAAAGCAAAAGCAAAAAGTAGAGTCCTCATCTTTCATCTGCAGCGGTTGGTCTTGGCCCGCTGGTGGGGTCTTCAGGTTATTCGAACATTGGTCACTTGAACGAAGAAAAAACATTATAACCAACTAAACTACATTTTATTTATTGTTATTTCTTTGATTGAACTCTAGAATTATGTTTTTATATTTATATTTTAACTTAGGTTGTTTATATTGTATAGAAAGATATTAGTTGTCAAATCGAAACTCAAGTAGCATCGATTCAAACATGAACATTAAATTGTATGTGTTGTTTAGTTCAGACAAAATACATAGGTGTAATGAAAACATGAACCTTTGTGACGAGTATAATCATTTTTTGTGACAACTACACATAATATAATGATAAAATTGGAAAATGAGAGTTTCTATTTCAAATTTCGTGGCTTAAGAGTGATTATAGGAAACTCTTTTTCATCATACTGCCCAATTTATATTTATAGTATGTGTATATTTGTGACAAAAAAAATTACTATATTTGTCACAAAGATCCATGTTTTGGCTACACATATGTATTTTGTCTAAACTAAGCCACACATACAGTTTATTATTTAATATTTGAATTAATGTTACTTGAGTTCCGATTTCACAATTAATCACTTTCTATAAGATATAGTAATTTCAGGTAAAATAGCTTTCCTACTTGGTTGAAGAAGCTCTTTTTATAAGATATATTCAATGTTTTAAGATTTTCTATTTCAAATTTCGTGAAGCGAGACTGAAAGTAGGAAGAGTATTTTTGTCATCACAATTATTATCTACTTATATGAAAAAGTATCAATATCAATATTTGAACCTTGCTTTCTTCAAACAAAAATAATAATCACAACCAATTACACTAAACAAATTTATTTTATCTTCATAAATTGTAAACATGCACTAAGCGAAGATTTGAAGAACAGAGGATTTTTCACGGTTAGCTAGCCTATTATATCTTCTGAAAAGCAAAGTTTAATACGTGATTTATAATTTTTATAACCTATAAAATGACGGGTAATCTTAAAATTGCAAAACAAATTTCATTGCTTGAAATATTGCATATCGAACTGCAACATTGAATATGCAAAAGCGATGTTGAATTCTCTAAATTAATATAAATTTTCTGAACTAATACGAAACAATAATATTTGGTACAAATGATAGGTGAGTGGTTCTCTAAAATTTTAGCTTGGTTAACTGCTAAACGCTAAACTCTTGCTAATCGGGCATGAATGGACCGACAATAATGAGACGATATCGAGTTTAATGTGATGTTCATTTCGTCAGTTTTGGATCGAATGTGTTGATCAATTTATAGGTGATTAACATATAAATGAGTTATAATTAACCTCATTATACAATTTTCACTCTTTATAATAATTAATTTAATCTTAATATTTGTGATGTTTGAAATATTTTATGTATGATTTAGAGGTATAATTATTATTTGTGACATCAATTGTAGTTTATTCAAATGTAGTATTGCATGAGGTAGTCAAAATCGAATACTAGGTGTATTTATGACTGTTATTATCTTGGTGTTGTGAATAGGTAGAAACTTAATTATTATAATGCATATAACTTTACATATGCACATGGTCGAGCTAGCACGACACAGTTAGAGCATATCATGAAGACAATGTATATGGATCGACCATGTACAATCATGAATAATTCATGGGTCGTACTAGACTTAAATTTCACGGGCTCGCACACAAGTGCAAGCACCACACAGTCTATATTGGTGACCTCATGTTTTATGGAGAAATGCGTCATTTGATAAAAATAACATCTAAAATTTGAATTAATGAGTAGTTTCTCACATCAACATGTGACGGCTCATATTCTAAAAGGTTCATAAAATACATTCATTGTTTATTTTGAGACTCAAAAATCTTTTTCAATGTATACAACTAAAAATTCATTTATAAAATCATTCTTGATTAACTTCATAGCTGAAAAGTCCTTTTTACAGCTTGCAGTAATAACAAACAACGTCAACAATAACTTTAGAAGTAAGTGAATTGAAGAAGAAATTGAGATATAGTATTTCTTTGCAAATGTGTGTGAGGGGGGAGGGGAGATTTATTTTTGTCTTAAAATTTGAGGAAGGGTTGAAACTCATATATCATTTGTTTGAATATCGATGAATATTGCATATTGAATTGGAGTATTGAACATTTATGCTCTGTCTGAGGCGATATCCTTATGCTTCGTCGCGTCTTTTCCAACTTGGCCACCAAGTTTGGCATATTCCTTTAGATTCTAGGCTCGATATGGAGATCCCAAAAATGGCGCCCGAGGTGCCATTTTAGCCTTTGGCATATTGATTTCCATGTTGTTTCCGGGCTTGAACCCATCTCGCATTCTGACTCTTAGCACCTGGGCTTTAATATTCCCCTACTCGTACAAAATGGTCCACTAGGCCTGAAAGCACATGAAACACTATCAAAAGCTCATCAAAATAGTAAAAGCAGTCATAGAGCTACTAAAACACATCTTAGTGATTATCAATCATAGTAAAGATATGAAAACTAGGGGTGTTCAAACGGTGTGGTTACCGTGGCAACCATTTTAACCGGTACTATTTGGATAATTTGGTTTGGTTAATTTGGATAATTGGTTTGGTTTGGTTAAAGTTTTTGGCTTAGTTTGGTTGAGGTGGTTTGGTTTGGTTTCAGAAACTCCTAACCAGTCAAACCAAATTAACCAGTTAAGTAATTAGTCATATATCTAACATATATTATAGGCAAAATACACTTGTATAGCCAAAACTTTCACGTTTGTGTCAATAATAGCCAAATTTGGCGAAATACCACTTATAGCCAGCTTTTAAACTTGTCGTTGACAAATTTAGCCATTTCCGTTAGATACTTTAACGGTGTTAGTGACACCGTCAACTTCTTTGACGGTTTGCTGACTAGGCGCCAACTCATCTTACACGTCAGCGCAAAATAAGCAAAAAGTGACAAGTCAATAATTTAAATTTATTTAATAATTACACATCATAAATTAATAAAACCTATTAAAAATATATTAATAGAAAAATCCATTGAGAATTTAACTCCCTGCTGTGCTTCTTCTTCCCCTATTCTCCAGCCAACGCCGTGGACCAGCACTATTCTTCACCATTGTGCAAACCACCAGATCTCTTGGGAGGTCCGATTACTCCTCCTCTAAGCTCTCTAAATCTCTCTCTAGATCAATAGTTTGATTCCTTATCTTCCCTCTCCTCCTCACCCTCTTCTTCTCCCTTTCCTCTGCCGAGATTCGCTTCTCGGAGGTCCGACCCAATCATTCTCTTAAACAAATTCGGATTAACTCACTCTAGTCGCCTCCCGCTGCTGATGTCTTTCCCCTTCGCCTTATACTCCCTGCCCTGCCATTCCATGTACCTCACTCGACGGCCGAGGACCTTCTCGACATTGGCGGCGGTGACGAGGGACCCGGCGAAGTTGTTGACGACCCGAGTTGGTGATTCCAGCGAAGAAGAAATCGCCGGTAGTCGCGTTGGAGTTCGGCTTGCAGGGGAAGCCAATCAATTTTGGCCCTGTGAAAATGGGTAATTTTAGGGATTGCTTTGATTCAATCTCGTTGACTCCCGACCAATCGACTGGAGCAATCGAAGAGATGGATGGAGCGACGGGCGGATGGATAGGTGTTGGGGAATGGATGGTGCGGACTGCAGAGCGAATGGGTGTGGGGCAATGCATGGGTGCGGCGGAACTCAGGGAAGAAATAGAAAGGTTTCAAATTGAAGAAGAAGGGCTCGCTGTCAACCCATCATCTGTATGTGTTTCTCGAGGAAGGAGGTGGTAGGTTCAGCTCGATCAATGAAGGAAGGAATAGCGGTGAGTACAGGGTTCGTCGGAGGAAGATCGTCGCCTTCGTGGTCGCCTTCGTCGATGGGAATCAGGGCGGGTTCGATGAAGACGATAAGGAAAGAGGAAAGAGAGAACAAAAGGTGGGTGAGTAAAAATGAGTGGCTCTGATTTTGTAATTTTTTTTAATTATTGTCCACGTGGAAATCTCATGCGGTCCATGTAAGCTGCTCCGTTTGCCCAGTCACATTTAACGTTAACAGCGTTAAAGAATTGGATGGACTTGGCTATAAGTGGTATTTCGCCAAATTTGGCTATTATTGGCACAAACGTGAAAGTTTTGGCTATGCAAGTGTATTTTGCCTATATTATATACACATACTTAATACTTTGCATAACCACTCAAGAGTTAACGTTCATCCCTTTTAGACTCATAAAATATAAAGCTCAATATTGCTCATATAATGTATATTTGTATATGTAAAGTGTAGACCACAACATATGGACGCCTAATTTAGATAAAATTCATACATTATGATGGATGAAAACTTGAAAGGAAGGTCATTTCCAGGCTCCAACTTATGATAATTGCTAAGAGACTAAGTCAATTTACACAAACAGAACAATTCATTAACCCATACCATTGTCATAAATTTTTGTTAGGTGAATACTTCTATACTAATAGTAAGATAATTGTCTTAGT